AAGGAAAAATAACTGGATAAAAAAAAAAAGAAAAAAATTAACTTTGTTGCTCCGTACAATCCACAAAAAAAAATCATATAAACCGAAAAGTTTTATAAATTGAATTTTTGTTTTGTAGCGTATAAAAATGGTTAACATTTAATTGCTCAGAAGCAATTCATTTTTTCATGTTTGGTTGTTCAGAAAAATATAAAGAAAGAAAAAAGCAAGAAAACTTTTTAATATTTTGTCAATTGTTGTAGGAATAAAATTTTATTTCATTCTAATTTTTGCCAATTTGCTTAACTTTTTTAAGCGTTTTCAACATCAAGTAGATACTTGTGCCGCTCTACTCGATTTTCATATAAACTGTAAAAGAATTTGCAGTAAAGCATGAATATTTGTTGTTATTATTAATGCACTTAAACCGAAAAGTAAACTTTTCTTTAGTTAATAAGTCAGTCAGTCAATCAGTCAGTCAGTCAGTCAGTCCGTGTATTCTCTTGCAAGCTTAAAGGCTCGTGTAAAAGTGAACTTTTATCCTTATTCGTTCTTTGTTGTCATTCTTTCACTCTCTATCTCTCTCTCTCTCTCTCTCTCTCTTTCTCTTTCTTCTTTTATTAACCTTCTTTTTTTTTTTTATTATAGGTAGATGATATGTCATTACAAACTTAATTAATGTTATGGTACTGAGCAGCTCTAACTTTAGCCTCGTCATCCGTATTGTCATCGTGTTCTGTATGACTTTTCAACTTTTTCTACTATGGGTGACACTTTCTAATGCATGCATATATATATATATATGTATATCGTTTACTTACACAACATACACGAAGGTATCCCGTAACTTGTACGGTTTATACATATATCAATCCTTGCTGGATATATGAACGAAATACACTTAAGTAATGCCTGTCATTTGCAGCTTATGTTAGTTAATTTTTATTCTTATTTTTTTTTTTTTTTTATTTTTCCTTTTTCTTCGCTCGCTATACTGAAACTCTTCCAAACTTAACAACATGATGCTGATGTTTTAATTTCTTTCTCTCTAACTGCTCTGCTTTAATATCTAAATTCCAAAAAGAAGAAGAAGAAAAAAAAAAAAAAGAAGAAAATACATGCTGATGATGATGACGACAACGACGACGGCGGCGATGATGATGAGCAGAAGAGAACTGTAAATTTGTTTAAAGCGCACTCTGTTTACATATTGGATTTTAGTTTTTCAAACAAACTCGTTTCCTTCTACTAAATATAAGGAGAGGTAGAGAGAGATAGAAAGTGCGAGAAAGAAGAGTGAGAGAAAGAGATGATAAGAATTAGGGAGAGAGATGGGGAGCGACAGTACTTATTTTAAATCTCATAGTTTCTAGGTGAATGTGTTGTGAAAGACTTTAGAGTAGCATGGTTTTAAGGGTATCACATTGTTTATGTTGTTGGTTGTTATTGGTTGTTGTCGTCGATGTTGTTTTGTTGTTCTGAATGGTAGCATTGTTATCTTTATTAGATTTGTCATTGTAAGTTAACATCAAAAACTAGAAGATATCACTCAACTGAAGTATGTTGACATTGCGGTGACTCTAACTCACAGAGAAATTCACAGGAGCTCACACAGTTTTACCAAAATAGCTTTAAATAATTCTAAAGGCAACTAAAATGCTTTACCTTCCAAATAAGCTGCAAATGTTTTCAAATTAAAGCACTACAGCACAGCAGGTCGTATACATAACGTTTTCAATGCGCTATTACGTTTTACTAGTGCTTGGAAAGTGGAAAAGAAAATAAATAATAAATCAAAAATGGTTTTCATTTATTTATTTAATTATTATTTTTATTGTTATTATTATTATTTTATTTTTTTTTTTCAAATATTTTATACAAAACATAGATTGGCTTTGCTCGGATCTATTAATATTCACCAGTACTTTATATATAATAAATAATTGTAGCACAGATTAAGAATTCAAAATTCGTAACATATCGACAATCGTTTACCGTATTCTATCGTTCCGATATATGAGCCGTTACGGTTTTCATAAACCAAGTTTTGTGCAAATCTATATTAACTATGTGCCGTTGTATGCAGTACTAAGGTGGACTTAAGACATATCCACTTTTTATTATACCGATCGATTCAGAATCATTTTCTCAAGCGATCTAAATGTGTTCGTCTGTTCGTCTTGTTTTTGGTGTATTTTAGTGCAATTTTGTGCATTAACGTGTTTTGATCCAAAGGCAAACACTATTGGCAATGTATTTAATGGTTAGCCGCGCCCCATTATATAGTATTTTTACTTGTTTTCGACTGTAATTTGTTTACATGTAAACGGATCGTATTCTCTTTTTTTAATAGCTATCGTTATCTTTCTTTTCTTCGAAAATGGACTTGTCGCGCGTTTAAAAAAAAGAAATGAGAATTGAAAAAAAATTTAACTTTGGAATGTCGTTAAGTATTTGCTTTTGAAATCCAGTACGTCCACAGAAAGAGAATACTGAACGGCCGTGTGGACGGTGACACTGAACTACTGTATAAAATTTTGAATAGATGAATTGAGACATGGCCTTAGCAGCTTGGGTAACAATGAGCAATGGGAATTAGGGTCGAAAATGACCCTAAGGTTATGGACATAGCAGATTTTTCAAACGTATTGAAAGCAACGTGCTTTCATGAGAAAGCTGATACCCTGTAGGGTGCCGTGTTTGTTCATATTGGGGAAAAAAAATTATCACAAATATGAAAAATCGATGCTGGAAATGGTAAAATTTCTTGACCAGAAGTTTGATATCCTTCCTCGACAACGCTATCCGCATCCATGGAAAGAGATTTAGACGAAGCGATGAGATTTTTGTAGAAACAAGGACTACTTAGTGAATTGTTCTGCAAAAAAAAAAGAGGGGAAATGCCAGAGAACCGTCGAACTGATCACTTCTATTGTCTTTAATATATCTTTTTTTAGGTCGAATACTTTTCAACTATCTCTCACATCGATTTTATAAAATGCGTTCATGCGAATTTTGCTCTTCTACAAATTTCCAGCAATGCCTCCCTTTATCTTTTATACAATGTGAAACAATTGAATCAAATCAATGCATCAACTGTATTTATCAATTCACTGCAGAAGAGCGAATAATTGAATGAATCGTGTACTACTGAAATGGTTGGATACACATCTAAATGTGTTTCCTAACATATGTAAATATGGTGAACGGATTAAAACCGCATTTATTTTTTGATAACGTCCTCTATCACAAAAGATTGCAGTCTTTCTTGGCAAAAAGTTCGATCGCAATACCAAGACTTTGTAGTTATCTAAATATATGTGTAGCGTCACTAAACCTAATTGATACCATTAGACGTCTAACGAAAGCTTACGTAAAAAAAAAAAAAAAAAAAAAAAATGAGATGATGTATACGAAGAGAACTGCCGAAGGCTAGTTTCTAAATTCCCACAGGCCCGCATATTGCCTTCTCCCTAAAAAAGGCTGTGGGATTGGTACTTTTCAAGCTGAATTGGTCTGCTGGACTACAGGCTTAAAGAAAGTTAAAAATGCTGCTTAGCTACTCTTGGCATGGCCTTGCAACGACTGCTTTCACATTTAAATATAATTTGCAAAATTCACGTTCAGCTATTAATTTTAAGATTTTTATGCGAATTCTTACCATATGCGAATGCAAAGGTGCAGGTGTGTCGCCTCAAAAGTTGTTCAAAAAAGCTGGCAAACGGAAAGTTTCTCTTCCAGGCCTTTGTGATTTGGGAAAGTTTATTATAATGAACAAAGTTACTTAGTAAGGATCAACTCTATGGGTTGCCAGAACAGTCCGCCAGAGAGCCAAAATCGAAATAGACTATGTAACATTAAACTTAGAACGAACATAATGGTAAAGGACCAAAAATGCTCAGCCCAAACGGATAATCCGTGGAGCGTTATTAATCAAACTCCTGGGTGGAGGATATACTCTGTTTAATTTTAGTATGATATTTCAAAACTTATGTGGAATCTAAGCTATACATTCGCACCCCTAAAGTAGAAACGTTGATCTGCGATGCAATGTTTCAATTCGAAAGTCCAATCACTATTCAAATATATATAGGATGTAGAAGGTTTCTAAAGAAATTCTCGAGTTCAAATTGAGTTCCAAACTTGCTTAGTTGCCGAAGAATATCCAAAACGACGAGACGAAAGCTCCTAGTTTATGTATGAGTGAGTATAATTCTCAATCTAATCTTAAAGGGCAAACCTTTACCAGTGCCGAGGTTTCAATTTCCATTCGCCGTGCTAGGTGCTGAGGGAAAGTTAAGGCGTATTGTTGTCTCTTACCTTAGCCTAAGTACCTGTATACTCCTTGCAATAGCGGAACTGTTTTCTTTTTGTCTCCTTGTCAGATGTATGCATATCTCTGGCCTCACCTCGAGCCTCGTCCTGAGTGTAAGTTAGAAAAGATAAAATCTACGTATAATTATGAATCGTCTGCGGCATAGTTACAGTTCTTGAGGATCGCAACCAAAAGCCGGAGGTGGGAATATTAATCTGCTTGTAAAAGCGCAGTTGCATTGTTAAAACGACGGACCTCGTCGACCGGTGTTATTTCCGGATGAATTTTCTTTTTCTTGCATTAGTAGTATGAGATATTTTCCACTAATCATTTGTTCAACTTATATGTTCGCCTGCAATATGCAGGCATCTGTGTTATGCTCATAAAATGACATAATAATGCGTTGGGCAGGAGCATGTGAGAGATACCAATATGAGGAATCATACGCTTTGACTTTGCCATTTTTAAGGGGAATTTATTAACCCCTGAAATGTTCTTCCGCGAAACTTATACTAAAACTTATGTATGCTAAAGAGAATCGATTCACCCAAACAAGAAATGCGCATTTGAACCAATTGGAGTAATCGTGCTTTATAATGGGATTTAAAAACTTTTTATGATCTCAATTTTATATAAATTATTCGACTTTTCTATTAAACTTAGATGAGGAAAATATTTTTTTATATTGTTTTCTCTTTCTTTACAGATTACAAAGAGAAGTGTTTTCGTATATGATATATAAGCCATTGAAGAATCCTAAATGTAAAATAATTTCACCATAAATTATTTGAAGACTTTTTGCAAAAATTATAAAAAATCCATTAAGCGAAATTCAATAAAAATACAATAATAATAAAAGCAGAAATATGAATTATCAAAAAGGTAAGTCAAAGTCAAGGAATTCTATTTAACATATTTTTATAAGAATTGTTCCTTAGAATTTTCGACAAACAAAAAAAAAAAAAAAAAAAAAAAAATGAGAAAAAAATAAGCAAAAATTCTTTTCAAAAAATATTTTAATTTATTTACACCGTTTCGCAGTGTGGAAGATTGCCTGGTTTTCATCTCCTTTCCGCCAGTCATATATAAAATTAGTAAATATTTTAGTTCATGTTCATGTTTACCCACCTGCAGATTGAATGCCATCGTAGTTGTATTGGTATTGGGAAACCATGACAACCGTATTAAAAAAGAGGGCACGTAATCATCGATAACAAAGGCTTAGTTCAATTATTGCAAAAGACTGGAGTTTTTATTTTTTTCTCTTTTATTTCCCTTTCTTTTCTTTGCTCTTCTTGTCTTATCTCTTTTTTTTTTTTTTTTTGATAGCTCGGTTACATAGATGTGTTCGCTAGCATCTAAATAGACAGCATCAACAGCAGCTTTTTATCCTTTTCATGCGGTAGGCCCTTTCGTCTGACGATTTAACGACATACGTACATTAATGCTGTGAGAGCAGTTTTTCCTTTTCTTTTCTTTTCTTTTCTTTTTTTTCATATTTTTCATATTTTTTTTGCTTTTTCTCTTGGCATTCAAGAATAATAAACAATCCATAATTGAATTAAATCAAATTGCAGCCATAAACTGTGTGTGCCGTAGTGTAGACATATGAGTAAATATGAAGAGAACGATTTGTATGTGCTTCGAATATATTATTGGTTTATAAAATTTGACAGCAAAATATTTATCGCAGTTTTAAGGCTTTTTCATATATATAATCTCTGACTTTAAAATAAGTTTTAGGTTATGTGTAACAAATAAAGCGGGGATCGCTTTTCTTATTCCTTTTCTTTTTCTTTTGTTTGCTTCTATTAATCCTTTATTTATATATGTTTTGCCTTATTTCCTACAAATTTTAACGAAGTTATTCAGACAATGTAGCGTACCTAAAAAAAAAAAAATTTTAAAATCGACATGAGGAGCTCTGAGCCTAACGCAAATTCATTTTGTTTCTTAAATTCAAGTTTTTTTTTGCTTATTTCTGTTTTTCTTAGGTTGTAAGGTAGCTGCTATTCCTAAGAGTTTCCTTACAGGAAAGCTACATAAGTACGCTACTGTGACCTGCGAACATAGAACTCAGTTAGGTTCGTAAAAGACTACAACTTTTAAGGAACTGCATGAGATGTCAGTCGCAGTTGTGCGTACGTTCCCTTGTATATTAAATATATGCAATGTCGGGCAGTATTTATTTATTTTGACGCCCTACACCATCTGAAATGTAACATTTTATAAAATGAGTGCAGATGTATGCAGTACACCGAAGGACTTGAGATAGACTCAATTTTTTTTAAGCCAAACGGTTCAAGATCACTTTCCGAATCGATTTAACTTTCTCTGTTCATCTGTCCGTTTTGTTTTGTTGAGTTCAGAACGTAATGATATTTTGTTGAAATTTTGGCGTGCTTCGGCTTAAGGACGAAAGCTATTGAAAATGGTACGGAGCAGATCATTTTTTCGGCACATAACACTTTATTTTGAATAGCTGTTATATGAGTACCTGTAGTAACCAAAGTGATATAGGATATTTACTGGTGGGCCGTAGCCTTCTGCAGTGTTTTTACTTGTCGAATATGTGAACAAAAGCTTTCTTCTTTAAAAGCCATCAAAAATAGGCATTTCCTGTAATGCGGTGGGAAAATGCCGAGTAGAAGTGATTTTGTTTGGGAACACTTCAATTTCCAAGATGCGCCATGTCGTTACTAAATCTGATTAGATCAAAAAATGTTATTGACTGTGCTCGTGGTTTTATTTTAATTTTTGTTTCATACCCAGTCACTACAGCAATCACCCATACGCGTATAATCACGATGAGCAGGTCAGGGCAAAAGATGTCGTGCCTAGGAATGGTATGCGCTGATTATGTTCTACCAAGGATAGGTACAGTTATTTGATAAACCAATCAAAAAGAACAAATCAAAAAAAAAAATTAATAAAAAATGGAATTTGATAACACGAACTTCGCTTTGGCTCTTTATTTGCTAAAGCTGTGCCCATCCAACGAGTATTGCTTTCAATTGCACAACTAAAGTGAACGACGTATTTGCAGTGGCACGACTTGTTCGATAGCAAGGAATTTTTATCACACAAAAATTATAACAAACATGCCATGGTTCAAATAGTTTAGTGCAATCAGAGCACTGCGTGGACTTGGGGCTGATAGCCTGGAAATGAACGGATTGTCACGCATCTAGTACATTATGCGATAGTTAATAAACTCTGGAACAAGTTCGAGAAATGACCCTAAGCAAAATTAATTGCCAAATATAAGCGCGAATACGGCTGAGTGAACTGTTGATGTTGACATTACTGTGTCAAAAAAAAAAAAAAAAAAACAAAGCGCATAGATATGCTTTTTTTATGCAGCGTTAATTCGAACTAAAATACTTTCTTAACAATATTCTGTAGTGTGTATTTAACTTTCGTTCAGTCCGTGTATTGTTCTAAGCCCGTCCCTGATCCTAAACGTTAATCAGCTTTCCATTATCTCTATTTTCATTTACTTGAATTATCACTAACTAATCACACGTTAAGATGATCAATTTTCTGCTAAAAGGCAAAAAATACATATATATATATATATATATATATATATATAAAAAATAAAAAAAAATTAAAAAGCTTATCATTGTGTAACACACATTTCCAATCAGCGGTTGTTTTTCTTCAATGAATTTAATAAAAATTGTATTTTACGATGTGCGGCTTACCATAAATGCCAATAACTGGATTTATTGATAAGGCTTAAAGGAAAATTGTGAAAGAAGAGAAATTTAATCAAAGCACTTGAATTTCCGATGCCAATCAATATTGAAAGCAATCGTTTAACCAAAGCACTCCAGCCAAAAACAAAAAAAAAAAAACAAAAACCTACAATAAATACATTGAACTTGACAAAATTTACTTTAACGAAAATTCCTTGCACCCTTAACACATATATATACACATATATATATATGTATATATATTTACTTGTATATATCTATGTGGCTTATGCTTTTCCAGCATCTAAATATTTTTTTTTTGTTCATTCAATGCAACTTTTATTCATTGTTTTTCAATTGTCTCAAAAAACAACCGAACGTCATTGACTTATCAATGATGATATCGTTTTTAGTTAAAATCTAAGCGCGCGTCGCGCGTGTCTCACTAACTCCCAATATGGGACACCACCGGTTGCTTGCCTATCATAGTCATCATTGATAGACAGGCAGGCAGACGGTGGCAATGTTCGTTACGCGAGGCAAAAGTATGTTAGCATACGTTTTCAGATTTTAATCATAAACGATGGCCTCAACGAATGAGCGAGCGAAAGAGAAAAAACTATACAAAGATAGAGTGAGGGAAATAGAAAGCCTAACAAAAGAGTGAAAGAGAGAGACGGTAATAGAGACATTCTCATAATGCGGCACACAGTTGTACGTTTATTTAACTTTTCTCTCCGCTTTATTTTTTCAATCAGCAGCATCACATTACAGCTACTAAGCCGATTGTTGAGATTTTCGAAAAAAAAAAGATATATATGAGGATACATATGTATATGTTATATATGATAATAACTAAAATCTAAAGCTTATTATGGGACAGGATTATGTTCAATAGTCTCACGTTACATACTATTAAGGGTTACGTTAATACGGAAGTTCAAATGATTTTAAAGAGATCAGCAGCAAAAAATCAATAAATGCTTTTCACTTTATTTTTATATTTAATTTAAATCATTAATACATTAAGATAACGAACTCAAACAATGATTGCATTCATAAGCAAAAAAACAAACCGAAACGATGTAAAAGCCAAAAAGTGTATTTTAAGGCAGCCAAATAAACTCTAACAGTCCCTTGGTGTAGCCTTCGTTCACCGTTCAATGCGCAATAAGAAAATAAATACTCCTGAGAACGGATGCAAACGCTTTTGATTAGCTTTCACAAATATCCTAAGGTCCACACGGATCAACTAAAGGACATCGGCTTGTTCGCTCTAACCTTTTTGGATATGTCGTGAATCTCGCACCACTTCACGAGGCTGAACAAGTCCAACTGAAGTCCGTCGAAGACTAGCATACCAGCAGAGAAATGAAATAGCTTCGGCACTGATGGAGAGTCATTAATGTATAACAAGAAGAGAATTGGATACAGTCGGCTGCCCTGCACCGCGTCAACTCCAACAATAACGTCGCTACAAATATAAAAATTAATTCTCACTTTTTGAATCCAATCACTGCTCGGTATGGCCAAGTACGAGGCGATTCAACTTAAAAGGATGAAGGGGAAGCCCATTAAGGGTAATTTGTGAACTAAAAGCTCGTGATGCATTCTGTCAAAGGTTTTACTAAGGTCAATAAAGATTACGGCCGTTTGTCTCGACGTCCTCAACGCGTTCAAGACATGACACAAGAACTCTAGAAGATTGATAACCGTCGATATTTCATACACGAAACGGCATTCAAACGGCGTTGGCAACTAATCCGCTTGTTGACGTTTCTGATATTTGTCTAGGGATAATTGAAATAACCTCAGCTTATCGCTGATTTCTGCTCCTCTTGCACTTCCTGAAGACGTGTGGTTATAGATATTTACGGTACAACGTTAATTAAAGATTTCATAAAACAAGTCTGCATGAGATCCACTTAATCCAAACAGTTACTTACGATAAAATAAATAAATTCTTTACAAATTTTACAGATAATTTTTTTAGATTCGTAATCAAAATCTACACTATTCGAAATTCACAAATTCGAGTGGTACGAGACTACTTACCCATTCAGTTTTCGACATTGAATTCAGCGAAAATATGAAAGGCCAAATTCGAAATGAATGTATAAAGGAAAATCTATGAAAGAAAATGACGAAAATGAATCAAAAGAAACAAATGCATATATAAAA